AAAAGCAAAATAAACTGCTTTAAGGGTTTTAATATCACAAAATGGTGATAACTTTTTAAGGATGAAAATACCTGTTGACATTTTTTTACAAACTTGAGATACATGAGTGTTCCAGCTAAGAAGTCTATCAACAGTTAAACCAAGGAATTTTGTTTCCTTAACTTCATCAATAAAGTAATCATTAAGACAAACATTCTTTACCACAGACCCACTTTTCCTATTTGAAGCGGAAAAATTAATATATTTAGTTTTTTGTTTATTTAATAAAAGGTTTACATCAGCTAAATGTTGTTGGATTGCATTAAGTTTTATAAAAGAAGATACCGGTATTTCTATATCATTTGCATGGTATCCGGATAGTTTTATATTTACATCATCTGCATATAAAGTGATTTTACTTTGATCACTGAAATTAGCTAAGCTATTGATGTAACATAAAAAGAATAAAGGCCCCAATATAGAATGGGCAAAGCCGATTGCATCTACTGCCCGGTTACTCCCAATGTCGCAGAACACACTTTCTTACGCTGGCCACATTGGCCACATGTGACCCTCGCACACCTAACTCCTCCGTCAAACGTCCCGTCCTCACCTACGCCTGTCCTGTCCTATTGAAAGCCCCTGAATGCCAAATTTCCAGCTGGATGATACCGAGAGGCGTGCCTTGAGGATAGCTTCACACCTCTCCCCATGGACCACAAACCAGGACGCCTAAAGCGCCCACTCCACACCACCCTCCAGAGATTTCCTCAGACACCTCAACCTGAAGTACTTTGAACGTGTCTGCACTTCCGAGATGCTTCAGTAGTTTTCCAACCCTACTTCACGAATCGCCCAAGTCTCACCATTACTCATCTCACCAATCTCCCGAACCAACAACCACCCAGACCCAACCCGTAACAACAACCCATCAACCACGTCAGCCACCATAAACCCCCAAAAGCCGAACCAACCACCTACTACTATATAACCCTAACATCCCTTCTAGGCTTTGTTCTGGGAAAATTTGATTTTTGTTCAAACCTTAAAATGAAATTTCAATATTTTTAACATTAGTCTTATGGATTTTCAAGTAGCTATGTTAGTTTTAAGAAAATGTGAATAAATTAATTTACAACATATGCTTGTAATAAATCATATACAGTACAGAAGCAAATTAATAAATACAGTACAAAAGAAAAGAGCAATTCAATGAATACCATTACGCATGGATTATAAATATACTTGGGATTTATTACTAAGCAAGGGATGAATACAAACTATTCAAAAACGTAGAGTCTTTTACCGCAAAACAATACACTACGCTAATATTGAATTAAACCCCTCAAAGAAAAGAAAAGGACGTTTTTGTAGTTTTCAATGATGCGCTGCTGGAATGGGCGGGTTATTTTTATCATTCCACGGATTATTGAATAGAAACGGTATGGATCATAAACATAAACAATATAATGACCCAAAAATAAACATGTTGTATTACTATTTCAATGCAACTGTCAAAAATCTTTCAAAACAGATGTAGAGATTATTAGTATTAGATTCCATCAAGTGATGTCATTCTTTTATGTTTTTGATCCATAACTTTTCTTTTCTAATGTCCGTTCCACAATCCCAATGACTAAAATGACACAGCCAGAGAGCATATAATATTCGCAACAATGCTGGTCAACAGCTGATGTTAATGTTATCACGACTCATGAGTTTGTTATCGAACTTTATTGTAACTATTTTCAATATAGATTGTTCGTCTGTATGGAAATGTTTGTGAAGTAATGTAGAGGGAATGTCTACTGAAGAGAAATTGGCTTTACATTGGATCGGCACAAGTAAACTCATTGTACACATGGACCAAAAACTTATTTTTTACCCTCATTAATTTTTTTAGCTTAACTTTGCCTTGGTTATTAAATTTATACTCGTCTATAAAGGTTTCCATTGATCCATACTCCTTTTTTAAACTGTGCGAATAGAAGTCAAAGAGTTACATAATTAGAAATAAACAAAGTCAGTAACATGAATTTAGGTTCCTTGAAAATTGCCGTAAAATGGTTGTTTTACCCTCCATTTAATTTAGAAACGAAATTCAATTGTACCACTTATCTTCAAATAGTCCGTTTTTGTGAACTCAGACTATTAACAGTTATATAGGCTACCTAGGACGGTGTAAATGTTGTTGCCGATTCACTCATGAAAATATTATACAGGGTGGCTAAAAAGTAACTTGCACCCCCCCCATAACTTTTCAACCCTTTGAGATATTTGAAATTGGTTTGTGGCAACTTGTTTGGATATGAAGGGCTACAATAATTATGGTCAGTTTTGAAAATTTTGCCTTAGGGGTAACGGGGGTAGGGGGTAGCTAGAAATATATATTAGAAAAATCGTTATTGTTCAATAATATGAATTTTCAATATTAGTTATGAATTTTCAATATTACATAGAACTGTACAATTCAGAAATATTACAGTACACGAAACAATAACCACCAAGGTTAATCAACCTGATTTGGTGGATTTGCACAACTTTGATACAATAAACTCAAAGAGTAATGGTGGGCGGTACACCGGTCAAATATTATTCTATTAATTCATAAACACACAAAAAACATGAAAACTTAAGCACATTATCTGTTTCTTAAACATAAACACTATTATAAACATTTCCAAGATTTATAAATATTTCTATCTACATATTATTAAAACTATTTATTCTATTAGGTCCTACACAACAAAGTAAAAGAAATAATCAATATTTTCTATTTCTAAAAGATAATTCCATAAATCACCAATAAACTTGTTTTTGTTTTCACATTTTTTAAGTCTTGTAGGCAAACTATTAAAAAAATTCGGGGCTAAGTATAAGTAAAACTTTTTAAAATGAGTTAAATTTGGTCTGGGGATTGCTATGTCATAACGATTTCGTAAATTTACAGATCTATAAGTTTCCTGATCATTCCTATTTCCACTTCTTAAAAAAAAAACAGACGTAACACTTTAAATACAAACAAGTTTTTAAGTGGTACAATCCTTAACGATTTGAAATTTTCAAATAGCAAGTATAGTCGAGTTTGGTATTATTTTGCAGGTCTTGACGAAACATAACAATTAACATAAAGAAAATAGAAATCGAACCATTAATAACAAAATGGCAGTTCAAAATTACTTTTAATAACCATTGTCCAAACCATTTTTAGCTGCCATTTTGTTATTAATGGTCCGATTTCTATTTTCTTTATGTTAATTATTATGTTTCGTCAATACCTGTAAAATGATACCAAACTCGACTATACTTGCTGTTCGAAAATTTTGAGCTATCCCCCCTACCCCCGCTACCCCTAAGGGCAAAATTTTCAAAACTGACCATAATTATTGTAGCCCTTCATATCCAAACAAGTTGCCGCACACCGATTTCAAATATCTCAAATAGTTAAAAAGTTAAAGGGGGTGCAAGTCAATTTTCAGGCACCCTCATGATTATTTGGATTTGAAACGTTTTAGGATGCCATTTTGTTATTAGTGGGCTGATTTTGGTTTTCTTTATGTCAATTTTTATGTTTCGTCAAGACCTGTAAAATGATACCAAACTCGACTATACTTGTTATTTGAAGATTTTTAGATACCCCCTACCAACCACACCCCTAAGGGCAAAATTTTCAAAATTGATCATAATTATTGTAGCCCCTCACACCTAAGAAGGTTGCCGCAAACAGATTTCAAATATCTCAAATGGTTGAAAAGTTAAGGGGGGTGCGAGTTACTTTTCGCAGTGTATTTACTTTGAAAAAAAGATATATATATTTTTTATGTCAATTAATATGTAAAACGAATCCTAAAACCAAGGATAATGTGGTGTATAAAATATACAGATACATACATAATACATAATGTACACAAAATATAAAGATACAAATACAGTAAACCCAAATGTTTATTATTATGGTAAGGCCTTTTTCTCAGCAGCTCATTAAGTATTCAGGGTGATTGAAATAAGTGTGTCAGCTGTTTTATTTGAAAATTATATAGTTCAGCAGCTGGCTATAGGCTACTTTAGTGTGCAAACTTGCGTATACAGTACTCAATATTTTTGCATACCCTTTTAGTTTAATGTCTAGGGAGTTTAAACAACCGGGTGTTTACCTCCTACCCCCTACGTTTTCCGGTTATGACGTTATCAATATGGCGGCAATGGATTTTTATAAAGTATATATTTCGCAAACTATTTGTCGGATCGGGATGAACTTTTTTTGTTTGAAAGATAAGTTTACATGCTATTTTTCTTACATTTACACATATGTTGTAAGTTTAGTACATTTTTCATAATTTTGCAAATGTCCATATTAGCATCTGACGGGAATATCACAACTTTGTCTTTTTGGAACGAATCCTATACTAATTACATTAACATTTGGTTTGACAGTTCCATTTAAGTAATGTTAAATAATGTTTACATTCGGGCGAGTTGCATAATTAATGAGCTAATCTGACTGCTTTGCTTCGCTCGCTGTGCGATTTGCTATCGAATTTGAAAACAATAATATTCATTTTAGGTGGTATTTTATTATTGTAAAAAAATTTTTTACACGATGTCAGGTTTTCAGTATTGAGACAGTAAAACTTAAGAGAGTTGCACACCTTAAATTACGTAGTTCTTACTGCAAATCCTAACTTTCCACAAGAAAGCGAGTCAGTTCAAACATCTGAGAGAGTTTTAAGCTACGAATTAAAGTTTACGAATATTAGTTTATCTAGTAAGATCTAGTATTCATTAATAATTTTAAAAAGTTGAGATGCTAAGGTATAACAAAGCAATTTAGGTGTGCAACTGCAACAGTAGGTCTATACGTGTTTGATGTAAGGGTTGCTGTTTGCGGGGATGACGGGGGTTGGTGGGGGAGAGGCGCGCGCCCTACGTACCTCAGTAAGCGCTTGTTGTGGACACGAACGGATGTGTTCAACTGCAGCTCTTGTTGTAGTCAGAAACTAACCTTAATGTTACTTCTTCTGTTAGTTTATTTCGTATAGAAAAATTACTGTATTATAATCTTAACTAAACAATGATTTTAAGTTTAACATCACTACTCAAGATGGAATTTCCTGTGTCAGTTTTTATGGTTTTATTGCTCCATGTGTTCGGCTCTAAGGCTTCTTCAACGTAAGTTAAAAATAATCTGTTCGCTTGTTAGATCAAGCTATTTTCATAATCCCATGTATTGCATGTTATGTTCGATTTGATCAAATGTTAATAGTAAAAAAATATTGTATATACATGCCTAATGGTATTCCTTATGCTTTAAGGACTTAACGCATTTAAGGATTGCTATTAAAGCAGGTATATACACTGTTTTAATAACCATTTGGGATCCGGAGAGGCTAACCAAACACCATAATTCTAATAATTCTTGGACAATATTTTGCATCTCATCTCACTTTGTCTTGAAACAATGTTATCTAATTATATTACATATCATTGTGTGGCAATATTGTAAGATTGATCCAATTTAATTATTTATATAGCGAAGTGTTAATTTGTCACTGATTTTAGTTCCAGATCTTAACTATTTTCGCTTCTTTCGCTTCGACCTTGGTTTATTGTTGAGTTGATACGGGTGTTTACAATTATAGGCAGTTTCATTAGTAGTTTTATTTGATATTCTATCTTTTGAGTTGTTTTGTACGAGTATTACACCACGCGAATATCACTCTTGAAATACAACTCAACAAGAGTACAAGTTTCAGCTTAGTATCTGAAAAAGAAGAGGCAAAGGCTCCGTAAGATCAGCGTAACAATAAATACATTGATGGATACACTTAAAAATAAACAAAAACTCTAGTTCAAGCAACAAATAGAGAAGTGAATGCAGAAACCAGTTCTAGCCTGCATTCAAGGTTTTTTAATTGTTTAAGTAACTACCTACAGTAATAATGCAAAATAAATAGTAAATTCTGATATTGGAGAATTGAAATTTAATAATGCAAGCAAACGAAATAAACGGCTAACGGAATTGTAAAATAACTAAGAATATTTGCAGTTGTGATCATTCCTTTAATAATCTTCCAAGATTAACAATCTGGGTACTTTTTTTATTTTTTTTTAGACATAATTAGGTTCAATTGAGACCTAGACGTGTACATTTACAACAGAAAACACCTTGAATACCATTTAATAAAACATTAAAATACACTAATTTTGCTACAGCTCTTTAACCAATAAAGATACCAAAAAGCATTAAATACGAAAATTGTAGCAAATTTTAAGGGCTACAATGTGGTTTGTAATGATACCCATGTTGCTGTTTGAAATTTTTGAGATAACAGCTTTTGAAACTTCGAAAAATTTTTAAATGCGTAAAATAAGTAAAAATATAGGAAAAGGGTTAAAACCAGAGTTTTTTGAAAGCTCATTTAGCAATTAAAATGTTATCAAAATTTGAACACCCCACGAAATTCCGCATCTTTGCAGTGAAAATTAGCTCAAAGGTATATTTTTGTACGTTTTTGAACACCCTGTAAATAGGGATGAAAATAATTTAAAACTTTTTCCACTAAAATACTCAGAACTCAAGGACCTTTAAAATGAGGTATAACACGACTCCCCCTTACTTTTGAAAATTTCCAAAAAACCACTCCCACCCCCCAAAATCTGCCCTTTTGGGGTGTTTTTTGGGTTTGAAAATAATTTAGCTGAATTCCTTGGGGTCAAAATAGGGGGTTCCAGTTGCAATTAGGTTTCCATTTGCTTTCATATTGGAGCTATAGAAGCCGGCCGGGTGGTCTGAGACACCCTGTATAATATCAAATATATTCTGCAATACAATACACGTTGTAAAGTATACTCCGAAAACACAATTCCTTACTGATTCTTCTATTCAAAGTGCATGCATGCTTTTGTCATAGTTATATTTTATTACATAATTTTGTATGAAACAGATGATTTTTCATGAACTCTTTAAATATCTGTAGCTGTACATTTAATGAAGTATTTATTTATTTTTAAAATGTGTACTATTTAAACAAAGGTATGCCCAACCACTAATCAGTGTAAACCTACATACATCCCTGGCGATTATTCGTAGAGATTTAAACATTATATAAATGGTGAAAAATAAATACAAGCTCACATGCAAAAGATTTAGACCATTGAATGGTATTACACATGTGACTACTTATTTCATAAACATGATATTTAATATGTGCTGTGTGAGCCGGTCTTTATGTAAGCGCATTAATTAAATCCTGAGGAACGGAAGGAAATTCAAGAAATGCAAATTTACCATGTGAGATATGGGCTATTGACATAAGAACAGTTGCGTTTACGTTTGGTTTATATTCACTCTAAGCATTTCAGACAAAGTTTAATGATTATTCTTCATAACTCTAGCAATTCAACAGTTTGTCATTTATTTTAATATTAACTAAAAAACACACTGTATATTTTCACCTTTAGTTCCCTGTACATATTTTAGACTTAATTCAATAAAGTGAATAAGATGTTGTACTAAAAAGTTGACATCGAACTGAGACCACTGATTGCTGTTCATATTGAGCTATACTCCACTAAAGCTGATACTACATTTTGAATAGACCAACCAATTGTGCAAGTAAAAGGAATACATTTTTGCTTTCTGTATCATTAAGCTTTGGGGTGTGAACGTAATCTTTAGGGACTGATGATAAGTGACTTATCAGCAAAATAAAATTTGAATAGTAATAATGTGTTATTGTATATTATAGCCCCAGGATTGCATTTAATGACAAATAATATTGAAACATACCTGGGCAGATAATAAGTAGGGATTCGTGTGCCACTTGGTATATTAATTGTTTCGGTGGTTGTTATAACTCCGCCATTGTAGGCTAACAAAAGGATCAATTTCATGAAGTGTCGTCGTAATAAGTTACACACAGATTACGTATAACACAATAACTAAGAAAAATACCATCACGGATCATTCACACACACGTTTACATTGCCGCGAGCAGACCTGACCTAGGTTATGACGGACTGATGAGGACACTGACCATCAGCTGATATTGGTCTGTTGGAGTTTTAAAAGCATAATGGCATTCTTTATTGAGGTTTATTGCGTTCCTGATTTATGTCCTCGTATATTTTGCATTATTCCAGAATATTCAAAATTACCTTTCCCGCAGTAATGTAGATACTTACAAAATTGATAGGCATACATGTTATAGTTTCTGTCTTACCGTATGTGGCAGCTGTGTGCAAATTGATCTGACGAATCCTTTTGTTAGCCCGAAGATGGCGGAATCATCCGCCAAAATATATGTAGTAAGCTCTCCACAAGAAATTCTACTTGCAAATGATTGTTCAGCGAAGCATGTTTTAGCCATCATTGGTCAGAAGTACAAGTAGGTTGCCTAGAGTCACGAGGAGCCGATGAAAAATCAGTAAATGTAATACAGCTCCACCTTCAATGTCAGTTATGCAAATTAACCTTGTATCAAAATTTGTGCTCAAAATACAGCTTTTAGACTGGTAAAATACCACCAACATTTTCAACTGTTAAGACGTACATTTGGTAGGACTATCAGACGTCCTATAGCAAGTTCGACCCATCCCTAGTGTCAAACACGTCTATTGCTTATGAAATGTTCAAAATACGGGGAATATCACTACTTAATACGTAAACAGTACCTTACGTAATACGTAAGGTTACTGCTTAATGTTAAGCTTCTTAGCGTTTGTATATACTCACTTAAACATGTATATTAGTTATATGTTGAATACATTCATGATCGAAACCGATTGCCATTGTAACTTCTACTATTTGTCACCTGGTAAATGTTTTGAGTAGGCCTATAAGATTGGCTATTAGATTAGTTTTTATGGGACATGGTTTATTATTTCGTATGTTATTATTTTACAGTATTAAAAGATCCGAATACTGTTTCATGGCCTGTGGTGAATATTTTAGAAGATGTTTAGATAATTTTCCGGTTGTCACCTCTATTATAATTCGATGTATGAATCACAGTTAGAATCTAAACTTAATTAATTAAGTATACGAACGATTGTGGAATGTAAATGAACTACTTTGTAAATGAAGGGTACTTTAATAAGGACCCTTAAATTTTTAATCAATTAAAATAAATTGATACATAATAATATATCATTGGTAAATTATGATTACACCAATGGTATACATTTAACAAGAAAATCTTTGGAATAGATGTATACAGGGTGTCTCACATCAATGTTACACAATTTTTTGGTGTAAGTACAAAGTAGCCTAAATGAAGTGTGATGATGCATATAAGAGGTTCCAAGTCTAAAAATTAGCTTCCAAAATGTGTATGTGTGTCTATTTTATAATAACTTACCATAAAATCTATTCGTATTTCAATAAAACAACATGAAGCCTTAAAAATATACTTTTACTTGATTTGTCACATTGATTTGGGATGCTATGCCAATAATGTAGAAACTATCACATAACACGTCCAACATGAAAACAAAGAATCTTCGTCCTTTTCCCGGCAATATATGTAATATTCTGTTGTATTACAAATCGATTTGCCTCAAAACACGCACTCTGCATTTCATGCTTGTTAAACAATAGAACTGATTATAATTTAATCATTTTCATGGTTCATGGACCACTGGTTCTACCAAGCATTGTAAAATCTTGTTTGTAGCTCACAAAGCGTAATGGTTTAAAAGCAACGTTTTATCGCACCAACTGAAACTCGCCAAAATATAAGACATTACTGACCTTTGAAACTTCAATGTAATACATCCCAACAAAAATTTTACAATTTCAAATAACATTTTCTATAATCCATATTTTACAGGGTGTAATTCCTTATGCATCTGTTTAACTATGCTTTTAAAAATGCTCCCAGTTTTCGGGTTAAAAAATCAAATAAATAGCTAAAAAAATGGAAAGTTAAGCATTTAAGTATATAACAACCTCAATTACTTTTGCCAAGATGCACTGTTAATATGCAGATTAATTCTTAGAATCGTAATTTTCTACTCGTATGAACTCTTCCACTTTGATATTTAAAGTTTTAAAAGCCATTGAGTGAATGATTATGTTTTGGAAACAATCCAAAGTTCAAAATGAATACTTGGAGACAGATATATATCATACTTTTTAAAATGTTAAATCAAGTCACACTATTCTTCTG